TGCACAGTGCGCAGAAGTCGCCAACAGTCTGCAGAGTCAATAGCTACAGACCTCCAAACTTCGTGTGGCCTTCAGATTGGCACAACAACAGTGCGAAGAGAGCTTCATGGAATGGTTTTCCATGGCCAAGCAGCTGCATCCAAGCCTTACATCACCAAGTGCAATGCAAAGCGTCAGATGCATGATAAAAATACACACATGGCTTGGAGGAAAGAAAGCATATGGTAGCTCTTTAACGTTAGGCTGTGTACACCGGTCAGATTTAATATTCCAGATAGAGGTATGTTCACATTTTATATAACAATATGAGTTATGGCAAGCTAACAGATATTTTCCTCTCATCTTTTGTGCAGACAAATGATGACATTCCTGTGGAAAAAATGCACATTTTCAATGCTGCCGCCTGTGGCAATGTTTGTTCTCCAGCCTTTTACACTAAGTGAGATTGATGGTTTTAGTTTATTCACACATGTAACATGAATCACCAGGTTGCTCTGCAGCGTTAAAAAAAACAAGGTAGACATTCTAGCGAGGGGTGGGAAATGAGAGCCTGAAGTCAAGTTAATTTACTAGTACCTAATCTTGACAGATACATATCTTCTATTTCCTCCTTGTATGATTCACGCCGCAACTGGACTCTAGAGAAGGAGACATGTTCTCTGGAGTGACGAATCACACTTCTGTCTGGCAATCCGATGGACATGTCTGGGTTTGGCGGTTGTCAGGAGAACTGTACGGACTAAGACTGGGATGCCGTTAAAGTTCATGTGCATGTAAAGGCAGGCGTCCCAATACTTTTGGCATTGTAGTGTATTTCAGAAGCTTGGAAAACAATATTCTTCATATCTCAGGGCCCAGGAAAATATTCCTAAATATATCAGAGCCCTAGAAAACAATATTCCTATAAATATTCTAGGACTTTGAAAACCAACATCCCTAAAAATAAATGTCAGGACCCAAACCAAAGCTTCTAGAACAGACTCTGAACAGTATCTATATAGCATGCTTACTCAGCCAGGTCATCTGTAAAACTTGTGTAAAGTCTTGTTATTGTATCATCCCAATTCCCTTTTCCACACCTATTTCGTCATAACAAGGGATAAAAATACACACATGGCTTGGAGGAAAGAAAGCATATGGTAGCTCTTTAACGTTAGGCTGTGTACACCGGTCAGATTTAATATTCCAGATAGAGGTATGTTCACATTTTATATAACAATATGAGTTATGGCAAGCTAACAGATATTTTCCTCTCATCTTTTGTGCAGACAAATGATGACATTCCTGTGGAAAAAATGCACATTTTCAATGCTGCCGCCTGTGGCAATGTTTGTTCTCCAGCCTTTTACACTAAGTGAGATTGATGGTTTTAGTTTATTCACACATGTAACATGAATCACCAGGTTGCTCTGCAGCGTTAAAAAAAACAAGGTAGACATTCTAGCGAGGGGTGGGAAATGAGAGCCTGAAGTCAAGTTAATTTACTAGTACCTAATCTTGACAGATACATATCTTCTATTTCCTCCTTGTATGATTCACCTGCTCTTACCAAAACCTCAACAGCATTTGTTTGTAACCAGCAGTCTTCCAGTGGCCCCATTTCAGTTCTAAAGCTTCCTGCATCCTTTGCCGGCTTGCTGGACTGTGAAAGAGAATCCTTAAACACTGTCCAATGAGTAGGCAGGCGACACAGGAATGTTCTAAAAGCTGAAACAGGATATAGTAGCGCGATCTTCCTGGTCGTGCTAATTGGCAGAACATAATTATAAATGTTATGTCAGATAAAGCACTTCACATATACAGTGTGTATTTCAACTGTATGTTTAGCAATTTGCCTGGAGTCTGGTTTGATATGCACGTCCATTTATCCAAAACATTTATCTTACTATCTTTGATTCCATTTGTGTCGATGTCAAGTTTCTTTCATCAGCGGGATTCTCACAAATTAATAGCCTCAGGTAAGATAAAGTAACATTTCCCACACCTAGCAATCTGTGTATTTACAAACATGGCCTAAAACAGTGGTTCTCAACCTGTTTAACCTCAGGACCCACATTTGTCCTCGGTCATTAAGTTGCGACCTAAGGCACACTGCAATGGAACGCACCGCAGTGTGGGTTGCAGTGCTGTGATGGAGCTTCATCCATACGTGCATTGCCTGTTCTGCTCACATGTGCGCCTGTAGATGTGCCGGGAGCCAGAATGTGATGTCACCCCGGTCCAGGCACCTCAACAGGACACTTGCGAGGGAGCTGTAACTAATGCATGTATTGAGGGAGCTCCTTCGTGGCCATACCCCCATCCCATTAAACTTTAAGAGGACACTCTGCACCGGGCAGCATATTTTGAATGGCTGCTTGGTGTAAGAATGGACAGTGCTGCGCTAGGGGGAGGCTGAGAAACCTCTCGCCTAGAAAAGTGTAAGGCATGCGGTGACCCGCTGAACACGGGGTCGCGACCCACCAGTTGAGAACCAAGGGTCTAAAGAACCTTATAGAAGATGCTACCACTATAACACAAGCTGAAAAAAGAATTCTCACAGCTTTGTTCAACAGAACAGGAGACAAGAACTGCTCAAGGATAACACCCATTTTACCCTACAGGGTCATATGCTTTTGTTATAAGATCCAGTACAAGCAGTACAGGACAGAATTCTAGAGCTACACTATAACATCACCAAATTCGTATGCATTTAAAGCTGAACTCTAGGGAGATATAAAAGACAGAAATGAATGTAGCTCTGTAATCATTAATACAGGGCTGGATATTTCTCACTGAGATCTAGGAGCAATCTGGAAAAAGTTGGGAGCCATCAAAATACAGCCGGTCACCATGGCAACCAGTATTTCTTTATGTTATTTGACTTCTATATTCACACACATATACAACTACTTAGTAAATTCTGTGTAAATCTATATGAATAGAACTCACTCAGACACATCCTGCCACCATTCTCCTGTTTTTAGACATTTACAAATACTTTACTAAAGAATTAATACACATTCCCTGCGTGCAAACACATAACTGATGTACAGTGCTGTCTGCGCGGACACACATAACTGATGTACAGTGTCCCATGTGCGCGCGCGCGCACACACACACATAACTGATGTACAGTGTCCCCTGCGTGCACACACATAACTGATGTACAATGTCCCCTGCGTGCACACACATAACTGATGTACAGTGTCCCCTGCACACACTCACATAATTGATGTACAATGTCCCCTGCAGGCAAGCACACACATAACTGATGTACAGTGTCCCCTACACGCACGCACACACATAACTGATGTACAGTGTCCCCTGTGTGCACACACATAACTGATGCACAGTGTCCCCTGCGCACACACAGCTGATGCATAGAGTCCCCTACACCCACACACATCTCTAACTGATGCATAGTGTCCCCTGCGCCAACACACACACATAACTGATGCACAGCATCCCCTACATGCAAACACACATTTGTCTACTAAACAACATAGCTCAGAGACGGGGAAAATAGCACAATGTGCCAATACTGTGTTGTACAGTGCAAGGAGCATACTGATAGGAGGATGGAGCAGAGTGACAGAGATATCAGCTCATCAGCGTGCTGCTTCTCCTTTCACTATCCAGTCACAGGCTGGGGGTGGGAAGGAAATCTGGAAGTGAAAATGCAACAGAAATCATGTCCCCTCGGGTGCCAGGCAGCACTACGCTGTGTGGTAGAGCTGTGTAAGTCCCTGAACCGAATGGACAGAAATAGAAATCCTTTGACAGGTAAAAACAGCTCTCATATATGTATTTCATCTGTGTAGTTAGAAGTTTTCCTGGAGTCCAGCTTTAATTGTTCTACTTTGATATTACATCAACACCAGCTGCTTGTATTAGGCCAAATAACAGTGTTTATTCATAAAGAAATACATTACACAAGATCTTATATTTCCTAAGCCAAAGCAGAAAATAAAAAAATAAAATATATGTTTCTCATAATAAATTCCCACGTTTCCTAAAACAAGTGCTGTGTGGATTAACCCTTTAAAGCAGAACTCCGGGCAAATCAAATCTTGACCCTTGCACTGGGGCTACTGCAACCCTGCAAGGGTTAAAAGAGAACTCTGGGGTAAGTGTTTTCCCCCCATAGCCAGTCTCCAGATCTTAACCCCATAGAAAACCTTTGGAGGGAGTTGAAAGTCCGTGTTGCCCAGCGACAGCCCCAAAACATCACTGCTCTAGAGGAGATCTGCATGGAGGAATGGGCCAACATACCAGCAACAGTGTGTGCCAACCTTGTGAAGACGTACAGGACACGTTTGACCTCTGTCATTGCCAACAAAGGATATATAACAAAGTATTGAGATGACCTTTTGATATTGACCAAATACTTATTTTCCACCATAATTTGCAAATAAATTCGTTCCAAATCAGCCAATGTGATTTGTCTGGATTTGTTTTCTCATTTTGTCTCTCATAGTTGAGGTCTACCTATGATGCCAATTACAGGCCTCTCTCATCTTTTTAAGTGGGAGAACTTTTTTGCCCCACTGTATACCGGCGTTAGCTCACCTCTCGATCCTGTCACAGCTCTCTGCCGTGACAGGGGAGGGGCTGATTCCCCCCTCCCCGCTCCGCCAGCGCTGACTGGCGGAACGGATGGGGGAGGGGGCGGGTACAGCTGGCTCTGCCTCTAGATAGGCAGGGCCAGCTGTCAGTCACGCAGCTGGGCGGATCCCGGCACAATTGTCGGGATGCGCTTCAGCTGCGGCGTCTTAGTATACCGCGAGCTACAGCTCGCGGTCTACTGAGCCTAGGGTGACGGGAGGACGCTAGTTTGTGTCCTCCTGTTACCCTAAGGAGAACTATGGGGAAAAGCCTTAACCCCATAGTTCTCCTTTAAGACTTGATTTGCCTGGAGTTATCCTTCAATTATTGAGAGGTGACTATGGGTATGATACACAGGTTAAGTACAATTTTAGAGAACACAAATAAAGATGATATAATATGAAGTCACTTACCCTGGGGAAAGTATATGAATTGCCACTAGCTCGGCCCAGCAAGCATACTTGTTAGGAACTTGGAATCCAAATACATTGGTTGAGCCTCCAGGGTGATAATGATTATTCAGAACCTTTAAAGCAAAAAGTACCCCTAAATGTAAACATTAAGTAAAAAATAATTACTTTCAGCACACAGGTAATAAGAAAACAAAATGACAAAATTAGTCAGAAGGAATACAATTGCTAAAGAGAAATACCTGTCGTCATCAGTGCCCGTCGCAGTCCCTTAGTCCCTGTCTATGGTTATATTATATAATATATAATGTCTATCAATGTCAGGCAATCCCAATACTTTTAAAATGTATCACAAGGAATTTTAGACCTATAACCTGTAAATGTAAAAGCATCTGACTTGCAAGTTGTACTTTAATAGGAATACCCCTATGGATAGAACTCACAGATAATAGATTCATCATAGGGGTTTCTTATTCCATATATTTATCCTATTCCAATACTGAAGCTCCTTAAGGTCCATGCAATCCTATTTGTTTGACATGATATGCACACTAAATGTGCCTTAAATGGAATAAAGTATTCCAGTAATAAAGGCAACATGGAGGCTGCCAATGCTGACCCACTTGTTTTAGTACTTTAAAGTGGAACTTTATCCCCAGCTATGCATGCTGATATGAAATCATTTTACATGTATTAGTTAAATAAACATACTTTTATTTTACTTACAATTACTGTTTCTCCACTTCCTGATCCTCTCAGGCATTGGTGGTGTAGCCCATGCCTAAGAAATGCATCCTGAGAAGATTACATCAGCAGAGCATTGCTGTGAAATCTCATCTGTAAACTGCTAAATCTCACAAGATTTCAGGCAAAGGAATTGTTCCCCTTGAGATGATGTGCATGGGCACATGTCCTAGTCACAAATGCCAGAGTTCCAGGAAGTAAAGGGAGATGGATTAATCTGCCCTTAGTGAAAATGGCCACCATTAGAAGAATGTGGAGGCAAAAAAAAAGGTATGCAAAGAATGTAAAAAAAACTTCAATTCTATAAGTATTTGTTTGTAGATTGCTATTACTAAACATTTCTAAAAGGTGTCTCTGTTGTCATTTTGAAGATAGGGGTAAAGTTCCTCTTTAGGTCACATACCTGAAACAAGTATGCAGATGAGAATTTTGGATGTCTCTAATAAACATATATCCTCTGCTGCAGCCTAAAAGTCTGTTCTTGAATGGACTAGTAGTTTTTGATGCAAGTACTCTGTTCTACAATTCATTGGAGTCTATACCATCCTGGGTGTTCATTGCCCCAACCCTCTCTCCCAGTTCTACAGTAAAGTTCTTCAGCATCTTATATTACATAGTTACATAGTATTTGAGGTTGAATAAAGACATTAGTCCATCAAGTCCAACCTATTAGGATCTCATTCTAGGAGTACCTGTACCCCTGTATATTACGGTCCCTTAAGAAATCGTCCAAAAGTTTCTTGAACAATTCCACATTATTTGCTGAAATCACCGCCTGTGGCAGTGAGTTCCAGACCCTAACTGATCTAACTGAAGAACCCCTGAAGAGTTTTTGTAACGGAGTTAATTTTAAACAGTTTATCGCTAATGTTGCTACCACCATTAAACATTTTGTACATGGAAATCATATCCCCCCTTAATCTCCTCACCTCTAATGTGAACATGTTTAAATTTAGTAGCCTCGTCTCGTAGCTCTGGTCCTCCATACCCCTAATTAGTTTGGTTGCCCTTCGCTGGACTTTTTCCAACTCAAGGACATCTTTTCTTAGTACTGGTGACCAGAACTGGACCGCGTACTCCAGATGAGGTCGAACCAATGATCTATAAAGTGGCAAAATTATAGACTTGTCCCTGCAATACATCCCCTTTTTAATACAGGACAAGACCTGTATTCTGTTTGGACTTCAGTTTGTTGGTTGCCACAATAGGATTGGTAAGTTCTATTGGGGCAGTAATATTGTTAAAATCCCTAGACAGGCTAGGAAGAAACTTTTATTCCACCTTAGAGTGACTTCATTTTATTTGCTTTACTACTCTCTGGAGGTGGTGGTGACATGAAATACAAGGTTAGGTTTTAAACATATTCCCTATTTGTTTCAGTGATTCTGTCCCTGATAGTAAAAGAAAACAATATGGAGGGCGGTGAAGCCACTGATCTGACTCAGTCAGTCATATACAGTATATAAATTCAAACTTGCTAGCTATTAAGCTCCTGAAAACACAAGCGATTTCTGCTCTGCTAAGCACATGCCCAAAAACATGTGAAAAAAAGCTTTATCTTCTGGTGCATGTAAAAATACAAAATGTTTCATACGCAATATTTCATCTGTGGAGATAGATAGATAGATAGATAGATATAGATAGATAGATAGATAGATAGATTTTATACCTGAGAATCCCACAGCACATTGCATTTTATAGGCTGGGTCATTCATATATTCAGCCAGGAGTAACTGAACCAGAACATAAACCACGCCAATCAGTTGTGAGAAGGCTGCAACTATTACAGCAAACGACACACTCCCCAGCCTCTTCTCCAGCTTTGTTCCTTTCCATAAGAGTGACACCATATTAAAATATAGATGCCAGTCATCAACATGGTGAAAAGGTGAGAGAAGCAAACGTTCCCAGTCCCTGTGGTGGAAACCTTCATGTACGCTGATACAAACATAAAGCAGGGGTTTCAAGGGGTTTAAAAAGAGATAAATATTAAGTCCCAGCAGGGCCAAAGTCACGGGAGGAATGTTATTAAACCCAAACTGATAAATCTGGGCAAACAACAGCAGAAGCCCGGTATTTGCTCCTCTTTGTCTTCTCTGCATTGTGGTACTTTCTTTGATTTATCGATACAGAACTGAATGTGACAAAGTCATATACTGCTGCATCTAGAAGATAAAATGCAATGCATTAGTATAAACAGTCTTACAAATACAATATATTATTATAAAAATAAGGCAATACAAAAATCTGATTCTACTCTTACTAATAATTGCCTTTCCTGAATTTCTGTACAACAGTCCAGAACTGGAAAAGACAGCCCATGTCTATCTTTTGAGGAAGAAAGTAGAGTTCAATGATCGTGCACTTCAGTGTTTTCTAAAAAATAATGGTTTCTTTACGCCTGTCCACTCTGGTGTGCTGTGTTAATGCACTTTATGTTGTGTGTAACCTCCACTGTGTTAAAGCAGCCTACTCATTAGAATGTACCAGAGCAGATGAGACAACATACCGTATTTTGCGCTCCATAAAGGCGCACCTGACCATAGGATGCAGGGAGGGTAGGGTTCTATGTTGCAGCTGCAGTTAGTGACAGCTGAGACAGGTGGCGCTGTGATTACAGCTCCACAGTCTCAGTGATCACACAGAGCAGACAAAGAACGGACATTCTTCGTCTGCTCTACGGGCTTTATGGTGAGCTCTTATGCCGTGGTCAAAGGTCCCCCACAGGAGCGGGGGACCCCGAAAACCACGGCGGGGGGCCCCGGACACGATCGCCGCCACCGCTCGATTTGATACAAGTGATCTGATTAGATCACTTGTACTACACGAGCAGCGGTTCGCACTGTACATTTAGCTCTGCTTGTCCGGAGCAGGGCTGAATGTAAAAAAAAAACTACTCGCCTGGCGCCCGAAACTGCATGTCCTGGGCGTCGGGCAATAGGGATTCGCTCCATAAGACGCACAGACATTTTTGCACCCCCTTTTGGGGGGAAAAAGTGCGTATTATGGAGCGGAAAATACCGTACCTGAAACATTTTTTCACTGAAGAGTCATTACACAAGATAACAAAATAAATACATATACATGTTTTTGGGACAAACAAAATTTTCCTCAATATTTTCTTACTTTTTAATAAATTTTCTATCCAATCTATAGAGAAAATATGTTTTTTTAGCTTTACCAATGTTAGTTTTAATAAAGGTATTCCTGTAGATAAAAGTGCACAGTTTGTTTCATTTATAATTACATTAAAATGATGTTTATATTACAAAGCAAGGCAAAGATTTTACAAAAATAATGTTGTGCTTTTTGAAATTGTGTTACGGTTATGCAACAAAGCCAATGAAAACAAAAATAATTTTTTTTAAAATATGAATGGTAAAAAACAAAGAAAAAACCCAGCAAATAATAGTTTAGAGAAGCAGGGGAGGTATATGTGCATGTGTATATACCCTGACATTGTGTGGTTTGGTTCACTACCTCCACACTATGGTGCGGTCACTGAAGAGACTGTGTATTTCAGTGAAAGCATAGGATAACAACAAAAGAGAATCAGCCATATGTGGAAAATGTAACATTACAAAGAAGAGACAGGAGGAAGTGAAGCTGAATTTTGAAGGAAGACTCCAGTTTTGCTGACAAAGTCAGGGTGTGCCCATCTGCAAAAGAAAGCTAATTACTAGGGAGTAGAGCAGACAGGGAGAATGGTCACTGCGTGCATATAGCGCAATGTGAGTAATAAGCCTCCAGTGCTTCTGCCTAGAAATGTTTTTCCTTTTTTTATACTATAAAGGAGGATAAAAGTTCAAGCCTTAACTTTTATCACTACCCACCTGCATTTCCCAGTGTAAAGGCAACTGTTATTATTATCACACCGACTACCAATATCAAAGTCTACCTTACCTTGACAAGCTCTGGGGCGGCAAGTTCAGAAAAGTGTAAATTGATGATGCACGGATCAGCCAATGAGCAGTGTTTAAAGCCAAAACTCATACAGAGTTTTGGGCAGCATAAAGCAAACCCACCACTTTTTCTCTGTGCAGGTAGTGACACTATTACTGGATGAACGGCACTGCAGGATATTAACACGGTGTGCAGGTTACGCCGCAGTCTATGAAGAACCAGAAGAAAGGTGCTCTTTTTTAAACCTGTTTATACAAGCTCTTATCTGACTCATATATGGTCCTTCGAGGGCATCCATACAGTGAAAAATCAAGTCACCCAACCTAACCTGGGAGACCCAATATTTAATATGGTGTACCGTATGTGTCTGATATATCAGACAGTTCAAAATGTCAGGGTTGGGCAGGAAACAATGCCAAGTGTGAACAGCCTGACACACATGCCATAGCAGCCTTTGTAATTCTATGTTATTTTCCTGTCATGACAAATTTGAACAAAAAAAAACTGGAATATTTCGCCAGTTGCCATTTTTACAGCAGACAAACTTTGGTTAACAGGTCAGCCAAGTAGTGCTAAGAGAAGCAGCACCAAGGAGATAGAGGATGTGACTTTGGGGTTATTCTACAGAACAGAACATCTGGCATTTGTGCTAGAGTAGAGCTGCTGACTTTGCTTCATTAAAATTCTATTAGCATCTCTGGTGGGAGCGACAAGGGAGTCTGTGCCACTTAGCATTACTGTACTATAAGTTAAAAAAAAAACATTTTTTGTTCTGAAATATTCAATGCATAGAGATGGACAGTTACATTCTTTCATTCACAAAACAAATGCTAACAGAGAACGGAATATTTGTTTATCTACCCACCACAATTGGAACAAATGTAACTACTGTATTGTCCTGTTGAGTGTCACCACAGCATGCATTGTCACAATTGTAGCTTGTATGTGTAAACATTACTTTTTGTGGCAAGCCTTACATATTTGGTAAGTCAAACAGACACTTAAAGAGGAACTTGACCCGCCTACACACACACTTTTTTTTCTTACCTGCTGGGACCACTGATCCACTGCCACAGCCTGGGTCCCGTGTTGCCATCTTCTTCTGTGGCATCCTGCTGTCCCTGTTTTTGCAGTCTCCTGGGATATGCGATGGAGGATATCCTTTGAGGCTGCAGGACACACCATTCTTGCTTAGGAAAGAACGGCGGAGAAGGGACGGGGCCGGCCCAAAAAAAGCAAACGAAAAATTCCCTCCCTTCGCTGCTTTATATTGTAGAAGTGGGGAGACAACAGATATTACAGACAGTAGTTATTATATCTGTGTTGTATTCCACATGCTGGGCACAGAATCAAGTTCACTTTAATGTCAGCCCCGCCAGCTACATGTACCTACATTTCCTTCATTCCTCCACCACTCCATTCATCTACTGGGAATAAGGGAGAGTTATCTCTGTGTAAGTTAGTTTCAAGTCAAAACTGCTGATTTTTGGAAGTCTCCATATGACAGTGCTAGTTGCTTGTGTGGTTGATCACTGTCAAGTGAGACGTAGGGGAGCGAGTACAAAACACAAAAATTTCCCAGCACACTTACCAGCTAGCCTGCAAAAAGAGTTTACACTGTGTGTTACAACTTGCGTTAAAAACAGAGGTTTTACTTGCACAACCTTTGCAAAATATGTGGAAGCCACACTGCCTTGTCAAGGCCCATCTGTGTAGTGTGGTCCTAACTCTGATCTATGACAACCTCCATCTTGGAGCATATATAGCAAAGGACCTATTGGGTGCAGGTACGCCTGAAGGCAGCCCATTCCTCCTTAAAGACACAGGGACACACCAGAAGCCCAGCACATCACAATTACAGCTGATGCACCCAGTGTGTCCCCACCCCAGAAACCACAAGTACAGCAAATGGCAACCGCATTCATCAATTTATAACTAGCTTTGAAAGTAAGGTGCACATGGAAGAGCTAGGCACAGTACAAACACAAAATTCTTTGTACTGTGTAAAAACCTTTCATGTGCGCCTTACTTTAAAAGCTAGTTCAAAGCTGATGACTGTGGTTGCCATTTGATTCACTTGTAGGGGTGTGAGTCACATGCTCTACCACCCCCAACATTAGATAGATCGCTTTGCAGCCAAACAGAGTTGTGGGGGAGCAAAGTGGAGGTAAGAATGTTCTGCTGATTGGGCTGTCATTAAAGTGAACGTGTTCACTTTAGTAAGAAGTAAGTAAAAACATCATTCCAACATTCAAACTCGGCGGTTGCACTCTGATGTTTTGGGAATGCTTTAGGCTGGGTTCACACCTGGGCGTACGGAATATGCGCGTTTGCTGCGGCACATTTCTAGCGCGATTTGCGGTAAAAGATACACGCGACATACACGCGTTTCCGAGGGCTATCCGGCTGTATCCTAATGGATATGCACGGCAAATACGCCCCAAAGAAGCTCCTGTACTTCTTTGGGCGTAGGGCCTTTTACAGCACGTTCCTACGCGCTGTAAAACGTCTAGGTGGGAACCATGCCCATAGGCAATTATTGGTTTTCACATGTTGAGCGTTTTACAGTGCGTAGGAACGTCCTGTAAAACGCCCAGGTGTGAACCAGGCCTTACCCCTCTAAGAACCAGGATATCAATTTCTGGCAAAATAGTGTCATCAGCACAGGAAGTGATAATATAATTCTGTAATGGAGCCCCAGAAAGCAGTAAACAAGGCTTCTAAATATTCCCGACACTATCCAAAACTGACTGGACATTAACTCTAGCTTCCTGTCCTGTAGACACAACAGGAAGTGAGAAGATATCTCTCTAAAGTTATGGAAATCTCATCTTAGACAGTGCACACTGGAAAAGTTACCCTATATTCCTATTCCAGTGACAACTCAAATGCAGTTCTTTCCCTCACTTCCAGTCTCAGCAACAATGGTTCCAGTGTGACACAGAGAGCAATAAATATCTAACAGAGGTTCTAACCTCCCCACCCGCCCACCACTCTATCTTCTAACCACTCTATTCCCAGTGATGTGTCAACCCAAGAATGAATGCAGCTTCTCCTTTTGCCGGCCCCTGGTCATCTGATACGCCACATGACAAGGAGTGACATGACAATGAGCAGTCCTCCCTCACTCCCCACTAGGCACCCGTCTGTTCTTAGCTGACACTCTCTCTCATCGCTCTCTTCTGTCCACAGTAGGCTGACATTGGAGGGAAGAGAAAGCAGAATCCTCCCTCCAGCAGCAATCCCGATCCCTGCTCT